GATTCTATGATTCTATGATTCTATGCTTACTCTGCTGTAACGTTGTTAGCTGAACATTCAAGCTTTAAGGAAAAATGATAGGTCTCTTCTTATAGTGCTAACTGGTGCAGACTCTAGATGTCCTACAGACTTCCATGGAAGGAGAGATTGCTCATTTTTCATTTTTTCATTTTTCTTTCACTGCTGATGAGGCTTTGAGCATGAGGGGGAAGGAACATACTGAGGGAAAGGCAAGACAGACCACAGCTAGCAAACGGAGATGAGGGCCAAGCACATTTAGAAAGGTCACTTCTGAAGCAGTCATAGAAACAGAAATGCAAGTGAGGAAGGGCAGACTGCGGCTCACTTACTGTGATCTGATCACACTGGCAGAGCAGTGGAGGGAGGTAATTAATTAAATGATCAATAGGAAAGTCATGCCAGGCCTCCTGAGGCATCATGGCACAGATGATCTTCACGTCACTACTTCAGCACAATTTGCTGAAGGGAAAATATCAATGACTGAGGCAAAAACTATACGCATATAGAATGACCACTTAAGGCTCTCCTCTTAATCTCCCTGCAAAGTAGCACAGGGCTCTCCAAAGACTGCGTCCAGTGACTTAATTCTGTCTGTGCTGCCATAGCAGTGACTCTGCCACATCCAGTGAGACTAAGACCCAGACAGCAGAGCTGTCTTCTCTTCTTCTAAAAACACAGTGCTCTGACTCATCCTCACGCTCTTGTGGATGTGGACCATACTTTCTCATATATGTATGTTGGGAGGAAAGGTGAAAGGAGAGGAGAGACTGAAGGCGCTTCCTATGCACCTAGATGAAAAAATACAATGTACTTTTCTACACTGAATTATATTCTGTGTTTCATGGTACAGCTGAATCTAAACTAACTCCTTTCCACTGAAGTAATAAACTCTTCTATGATCTGTACAATATGATGTCAGGATAAACATGCCCTGTTACAAAAGTTAGATGTCTTTGGTTTAATGACCCCACTGCTCTAATCAGCGTTATTACGAGACAAGCTGAAAGTGTAGAGTTAGCAAAGTCACAGCTAGAGTTTTCTGTCATACTGAATGTCAGGAAATTTCCTTCCCCTTCCCTGTTTAGAGGGAGCAAGAAAAATAACAAGATGCACGAAGCCTCTGCTATAATTAAACATTCCTCCTAGCAAACCACAATGAGAAATTTCAGCTAACGTTCAGAGTGCTGACAATACACTGTTTATCTGACAGTGCATAACCCATCAGAGATCACTACAGATCTCATTATATAACTAGGACTGCACAAAAAATAAGAAATTAATTAACTGAGGAAGAGAACAACAGAGAACCAGGACTGTCTCAGCCTTAAAGCTTCTTGTCTTTTCACTCCTTTCCTAGTGTTGCATTCCTGAACAGCTGATTAGTCCTCTCATGTCTCACAGTACAAGCCAGGTTAGTGATAGCCACAGGGATAAAAGATTTTGCTAACAGTATGTTAATACTGTTTCCTTCTTGGTGTACAACACAGAGCTCCGGCTCTGCTGGCCACGAGAACTTCCCTACTGTACTACCAGCCCTATGGGTAGTGAGGGCAAGTTCTGGATCTTAAAATAGCAGGTCCCCTACGGCAAGTCAATGAAAATTAGCAACATGATATATCAGCCTTTTTTTTTTTTTTCTTTTCTTCTTTTTTTCATATTCCTGCAAGAAACTACCATGGCAAATATTATTATTACCGTAGAATGCAGAATTTCTTTAACACAACATCCTGCAAGGAAACATCCTACTCCATCCTCTCATTTTCCTTGAAGTAGGTGTAAAATAGATTTAAAAAGCAAAACTACTCAGATCATATCCCCCAAATTTTTTGTACAAAATTTCTGGTTTTGTACAGAAATTCCATCACAGCAAAGCAATCACATGCTGGCTCCATGAGACCTAGGTCCCCTGAGGCATCTTTCCAGACACGAAGAGTCAAAGCCAGGTCAGAAAAATTGTCAGAAAAACAGACGCTGGAGAATTATAATGCTGGCACTAAGAGTTATTCTAAAGATGGAAAATAACAGCATGCCGAAGTCAAGGCCAAGGTATCAGCAACCATTCTCATTGGCAGGCATCTCATTTTACCACTTGACAATTTCCTCTCTTTCCAGTACATCCTCAACTACAGGGTTACTGCAGGGAAAAGACAGGTGGCTGACAAGAGCTGTTCAGGAAGATCAAGTTTTTCAGACATTGCATATACACTGCTCATTAAGTACATGAGGCAAATCTTTGCTACCAAACAGCACGTTGCATTTATATGATTTGCCTTCCTCAAGGCAAAGAGATACCTGAGACATGGGTGAATGAGTAACTCCTGTTGATACAACTTCTGGCTTGAAAGGGTCGAAGTCCAGATCTAGCAAAGATTCCTCTTTCTTAGCTTCAGGAACTTCATTCTGTTAGAAGAAAAACATAACTCTCGAAAAACTCATCTTTCAAAAGCTGCCCTGTGCAGCAAAATATTAAGAGGCCCAAGAAAAAAAACATTACATCACAGACTTTCTAGCTACAGTGCAAGCCAGGAAGGGAGGAAGCTTGAAGACTTTCTTGAGCTTTAGTGTAACTTTTAATTTTATTTTTATGAGCGTCACTCTTACGCCGTCTTTGTTTTCTGCGTAGTGCAGCTTTGCCTTTTCAGGCTAAACAAATCGCAGGCCTTTTGAAAAAGTGCTGAGTGTTCACCGTTTGACTGTGAAGGCCCTTTTAAAGTGCTTTGAGTCAGACACCAAAATTAAAAACTACATAAATGGCACCCAATGTCCATATATTCTAATAGGTGAATCTCTCCCCAAATACAAACGTTAGTGAAAAGCCAATATAGAAGGACATAAATGCATTTGAATTTAATTTCAATTCTCAACATGAATACCAATTAACATTTAATGCTGTCCTTAGCTCTAAACTTTAGGAAACATCTTACATAACACTAACAAAACCTTGCTACACTGATCTGTTCTTACAAAACTGGATTACGTGGTAGAGCCTTTCTTCGTTTGCAATTAATGAATTAGCCAAGGCCTCTGAGGTCACTATAAATATACAGATTGGTTCAATGGGGTACAGGTCTTTCCCTCTGTAAAGCAACAGGAACAAATAATTAGCGTGCCTCAACATTAGTGTGAAATTGTAGCTGAGATTTAATTATCTCTAATGACAAATATTCTAGGCAAGCATCTTGGTTTTGGTAACAAGGCTAGTACTGCCTACTGCTAGTTGTTCAATGTTTATTAAATAGTAAAAGAAGCTTGTCTTCTGATGTACGGAATATATAGATAGTGAAGTATTCATTAGAATGTTATTTTGAAAAGTGTTCAGATTGGAAACGATACCACAGGAAATTACTTGTACATAGACATTCACATATAATCTTATGTAAGAACGGTAACACAGGGTCAGACCCCATAGCCCAATGTCCTCTTCCTGACTGTGACCGAAGTGTATACCAAAGGAAGTCTCCTACAACAGGGCAGTCATAAGAACAGCAAAACTAGGAGATAATAATAATAAAGATGTTGATGATGATAATAATAAAATAAACAAAGCTTTTCTATTATTAAAACATCTAAGAGTGTAAACTTTCCAAATTAGTGTTACTATTGGTAAACAGATGTTCAAACATAGGTAATTAACGGCATCCATGTGCCACAAGACATCTGAGCTCTCTGTGTCATCTTCAGCTCCCATGCTAGGAATGACGGAGTGACCTGGAACTCCTCAGTCTGGAAGAAGAGTGCTAGAGGTGGTGTGAGCGCTTTCTATACCAGCATAAGAGGCACAGGGATTTGGCTGCTCCATGACTCCTCCCAAGCAGGAAGGCAGGTGGCAGTGAAGTTGATGGGGGCAGATGTGGAATAAAGAAAAGGTGGTGGTGCTCCACGTGGCACAGAGTTCAGCTAGGGACTTCCTTGCCATCGGGTAGTGTGAACGTGAAAAATTTACATGTGCTGAAAGACTGAACAAACTTCTGGCAAAGTATTCTGTTCAGGATGACTAAATACGTAGAAATCATGTTGAGGAAGCCCCTGAGCTGCAAATGGCTGGAGGCTGGGAGACTGTAGGAGAAGGGGGTGTGAGGAGTACCAACTTTGCTTGCCTTGTTTTATATTCTTCCCTTGGCCTCTGCTTTTGACCACTGGTGATGACAGATAACTGGATAACTGGTCTGACACACTGAAGCCAGTGTTATGGTCTCACACTTCAAGAAGTCAAAACCAAAATAGCCCTCCCCACCAGTAACCAGCATTACATTCATTCTGTCGTGCCTTTCATCCGATGTATTTAGATTTCATTACATATGCCCTTGAGGCACTAGTACTCATACGGTCATACAGCTTGATGAAACAATACAGCATTAGCTAGCATATAATCAGAAATGGATGGAGATGGAAAAGTTAATTATCTTTCAGTGAGGTTCGAGAATGAAGTTGTTATTTATGAGGGCTGAATCAAATGAATAGGAGTCTCACTTAGGCCATGCGTGATGACAGCTAAGGTATCTGTAGTGACAGGATACTGATCACTGACTGCAAAAATTACCATTACCTGTTACCCTAGACCAAAATGAAGAGAACATTTGATGTAACTTTAGGAACAAAGGCCCAAATAAACATATAGAGCATCTGAGATATCAAGTTAGATGGAGATTTAGGAGAAACAGGAACCTCAGAAAATCCCTTGATAAGGCACAAAGCTGTGACAGGAAGGCCTGTCAATCATCCTGTGTTAATTCCACGACAGCATGACAAAGCATGAATAAATGCCACATTTGAAGGAGGAGGCTGTGGCAGAAGCAAGGCTATACCTCTCAGAGGACATGTGTGCACAAGGGATGGAGAAGGCACAAGAAACCTGCAAGGACCATCAGAACTGCCACCCCTCTCTGCACACAGTCTGTACAAGCCTTAAAATAGCCCTAGCACATATGGGTTGTTCACTTCAGTGCTGTCAGACACACTCAGACATGTTAAGTACCTGGAGGGGGCATATTATAAAGGCCTACAACGTCCAAGCTAGTAACTGGACGCTAGGGAGCAATGTGATGTGAAGAAAACATGAAATAAAGCAAGGAACACTCGTTTCTAAATGATCCCTTCATCTGGTCACCCAGATACCACATCTTCTCACCTCTTCCTTTTACTTAGCAGTAACTAAATCCATTCTTGACAGTGAATAAACTGGAAGTGTGAGCTGCTTTTTTGAATCAGGGCCAAAATTTTCAACAGCATCAAGCAGAACTGTCTTTCAGCATCTTGCACAACACTGAATGCATTAGTACTGCTTGGTAAAGAAAGACGAACAACAATTATAGGCTGTTTGTGTTCCAGGGGAGAAAAGTGTTTGGCCTGTTTGTAATCCGCTCTGAAACATGGGATTAAAGCAGCAAAGCTCTATTCATCAGCCTGTTGGTTTTGTGCCTCTGTGTGAGCATGGTGCCAGGGACACCAGTGGTGGTCCTTTGAGACCATTAGTCCTGCACCATTAGACGGCTCTGCAGGCTCTATAGCTTCCTCTATACTGCCCAACAAGGGCTCTGGGAGTACAGGAGATGCCATAAGCACCAAGAGGAATAAGAAGTCCATGTTTCCTGTGGATTTCATGCAGTATCTTTTCATAATTGGTTCTCTTACAGAAGGATATAAAACCTATACATCACACTATTTGGGTATGCCTGTACATACTCAGAGATCTCACAGTAAGGATGCTTTAGTGTAGGGGATGGCTTTTGTGGAGGGAGAAGTGCAGATGATTCATGAGAAGGTGGCCAGGGAATAGCTTAGGTCATTCCCAGGTCATTGACTGTGGAGAAGGGAGGGACATAAATCACTCACTGAAGGGAGACCAATTTTTCCTTGAGAGACAAGGGAAAGATTTCAGGTCTCAGAAGCATGCCCCACCTTTATTACGCCATTCCATTTTTATACCAATCTCTCGTAGAAAGGATGTAAAGATTCTGGAAATGTGTCTCACACTTATTTAAAGCCCTGTTCCAGTGCCAGCTGTTAATGGAAAAGCAAACCGGTTCCATTTCTGCTTCCCTGGCTGGCCTGACAGGTGAAGGTTAGGTGGATACAACATTTAATGCAGGGGGCCATATCTAGCACAGGGTACATCGACTTTTACCACGGATGTCAAGGCTCACGCTGAGAGAGTGATAACTCCCATGAAGTCAGGGTACAATGATGCAACAGACCTGCAATCTCCCTTCAGCAGACCATAGGGGGACCTGCCGTTAATTCTTTAATTGCATGGGGACTTAACTATAAATAACTATGTTCTCTTCCAAATAGATCCCTATGGATGGCAATGCCTTTTTCTCCCCTCCAGAAGAAAACAAAACATCACATGTTCAAATTCTCTAAAATAATTTTGTTTTTCATTGCTGTGCCTACATTCTCCTGGGTTGTCAAATGAATTAGTACAAAAACAATAATTCACACAAAAACAAAAATTCATAAACATTCTGCATAAGCTTCAGATCTGCATATTTCTCCCCAGTCTATCAGACACAGGCTCAGATTTCAGAGTTGTAATTACCATAATAGAAAGGCTCCATTATTGAACTACCAGCAGTTACCATAACTGCATGAAAGCTGAATAACTGAATACAAATTATACAGACTTATTTTACACAACTCTGGCTTTTCTGTTTGTTATATGCAATTTTAAAAATTTTGTAATTTCATAATAATGAGATAAAAGTAATTTTGATCACTTCTCTGCTGTGTAACTAATGTTTCTGTGAGTCAAAACCAAGTGAATGAATAATCTAGCTCGAGCAACCTTTTATACCTGCAAGAAGTTAATTAAAACAGCCAAGTTCCATTTTCTTTAAATTACTCAAAAGAAAAAAGGAATACTTTCATGATTTTGATGGAAGAAACAGAAATAATGAAGGATCACTGTAAAGTGCCACCTGAGATGCTTAGGATTAGGAAAAAAGTATCTTAGATGAACTCTCAGCTTGCAATGCAACCTGGATGCAGTTAAATTACAAACATGGCTGCTTCACAGTATTTTTGTCAGGCCTCTCAGGAAATCTCTAATTTTTTTCAATATGTTAGCAATGTTAGCCTTTTCAGTGATTATGTGTGGCCTATAAAACACCATATGTGTGACCCTTTCAAGATAACATAAAATGATAATCGTGCCTCTGCCTTCTACCTACATCCTCCCTCCCCATGGAGATCAGCCCCAAGGCCACTATCTTGGAGAACTTAGGGTGATTGCAAGGTTGGACCCATACACCATCCTCTGAAGTTTACCTGTGATGGGGTCGTCACATTGATTTCTGGGACAAAGTTGTCGTCAAAGAAGTTAATGATGTTCTGCTGTTGCAACTCCTTCGTGGGTGTGAGCTTAGGCAGTGGTGGGACTGGTGGACCTTTCCTCAGCTAGACAGACAGCAAAAATGTCACAGACTATGTTCAGGGATAAAAGAAAGAGCTTTAAGCTAGACCTAAACAATTTGTGTTAGGTTTTTGTCTCTGCTGTTTCACCTTAAATGTGGGAATAAGCCATGGGTTGAAAGGAACTGTTTGGTTGTTCACCACCAAATGCCTTGAAACAAACATTGTGGCAAAAGCAAAACAACTCTGTGTTTCAAACTCATTCCAGCTCAGGGTTTAAGATTTCATACAAAGGCATTTCTTAACTGATTTTTTTCTGCTGTGACCGGCATATAGCGCAAGACCCTTCTTCTCCTATGCAGCCCATAGTGGAATGGTGATGCTGCACAAAACGAGGCCTCTGCAGCTTTTTGGCTTCTTAAGTTCATTCCTGTTTAGCTTTGGGATTTTGTCCTTGCCCACCTGTCGCTACCTTTAAAGCCTACTTAATGCTAAGACCATATCATCTCTGGGAACCACAGCACCTCAAAGGCGCTTAGGTTACTAATTGCCCCTGCTCTCCAGAGATTCACATAACTATGACAAACTAATTGCTTGGAATAATACCAAATGCTATTGGCTAATTTTAAAATCTGTCAAAATACCACGAAAAAAAATCCACAAAGAATCCTCAGGTGGTGTAGTGACACAACACCATTGGCACCAGTAAGACTAAACTGAGTCTTACCAGATGAATATTCAGGCAGTGAGGTGTCACATTTTGGGAGACCAGAGAAAACAAGTGTGCTCACATGCGACTAAATGCAAACCTAAATTTCTTCTGATGTTCTCCCACCATAGAAATAACAATCAGCACAGAAGTTATCCCAATTCTGAAAACATCAGTAACATCAACACAAGTCTTTGATATGTTCACGAAGTATCACATACAACTCTTATGCTACAGATGAAACTGATGCATGAAACTGATTCCTGTTTCACCAATACTGGTGAGAACAGAAATTACTCCAGTGACTCCAACAGTGTCAAACTTCTCAATCCAGCGTTAATAACAACCAATAAGCCTTTAATTATCAGTAATTATCACAGCAGTATTTAAGCTAGCTCTATTATTTACTATTTTAGAGGTTGGCCAGACCAGTGATACTCACTGGCTAATTTTTTTCCAGGGTAGGCATAAATTTGAAGATGAATGAAGAGTAGAAATACATAATGTACTGAAATTCACGAGCAGGTTTTAGAAATAGATTTTTCGAACTATCACTGCTGGGATATGAGTCCTTAGAGACTATGCAACTTTTTAAGAAGTGTTTTGCTTTGTTACCACAAGTCCCCCCAGCTGACCAGGCACCTTAAATTTTCTTCATTCTCCCTTACATAAAAACCACTTTCCACCCATGCTCATGACACAGGGATGAACAACCAATGAACAGAACAGAGTGCAACAGAGCCAGTGGCCTCCCTGTCATTTCTCAGTCACAGCCGAGATGAAAAATCCCCCATATACATCATCTCAGCTATCTTTTACTGCACAACAGGCCAGTTTCTCCTGCTAGGTTTCCACTTACCTGTGTGGGTGACTTAGGCCGGGCTGGTGCCGGGGATGCTGGTGCCAGCATATGATTGGGACTAGCAGTAGGGCTAGGCAGGGGAGAGACCTCCTCTGGCGGTGACGGTGTTTTTGCAATGCGGAGTGGACCTGAATCACTAGACAGAAACAAAGCAATGGCGAGGACATACATACCATGCCGACTTATTACCTTGACAGCTTGATGCAATAGTTGAACTGCATCCCTGATGTAATGCCAGTGACCACAAAATGCAGTACACACTGGAGACGAACTGAGCCATTATATAATGACTAAAACTAAAACTGCAATTAAATTCAATGAGAATTCAGTGATCTACAGTGTCAAAGGAAGTTTTAATTTTGAGTGATCTTGATTTTTGAAACATCTGTTTACCTGTTTATTTTAACTTGAGGAAAACAGAGTACCTGCATTTTTTCAGATTCTGTATTTGAAATAATATTTCATTTATAAGTTTGTAACGATCATAAAATGTGAGATGGAATTATTGTCTTCATTTCACACAGTTCTCAGAATAAAAGGCTCTAAAGATAAAAATCCCAGGGGAAGGCATAACAATGAATAATGTAAATAATTTTAAAAGCTCAGCAACTTCAAATAAAATAAAACACAACCAAGATTATTATGAAGATATCACTATTTAGAGGGACGACTCACTACAACTATAAACAAGCAGTAGTCAAGTGACTTCAGCAGAGCTCTGCTGATACTAAGAAAAGATCTGATGAAGTCCTGAGAAAGGATATGCCCTTCCCATGAAAGGACCTGGTACAAACACTGAGACATATTCAGCTACCTAGAAATGCTGAAAGCTTACAACTTGCGGAGGCTATAAACTACGGCACTCAACGACCACAGTACTCGGTAAGAGAAGAGCGACTCCTACACATCTTCAGGGAGAACAGAAGCGCTACCTGATTGAGGAGAACACACCATAAACATGTTCCTAATGCTACCACAAGAAAAATTTGTTGTTTGGAAAGGACAGACTTAGCTCACACTCACCACCTCTTTCTGTGGAAATATTAAAAAAGAAAGAAAAAGCAGTTATTAAGAAATTTCTTTCCCACGTACAATATTTGCCCTTCAGGATAGAGTATTCAGTAGCATTCAAGTTTTTAAGATGTTTCGTTTTATACAGTTCTTTAAAGGAAAGATTAAGTACTGTGCTTGTCTAGTATCTACCTCTCATGTATCTAAAAGACCCACTCCTGAGTAGTCTTTTAGAGCACCATAACTAATAATGGAAGTCAAAATCTATCCAGATTTTCACATAAGGCTCTGTGAACAGTACAGGAAAAGAGAGTAACATGGTAACTAAAAAAAATAACGTATTTTTAAAAAGCATTTTTAAAATTAGTTAAGAAGATCATACCGCATTAACCTATGTGTACTCATTTGCAGCAAGAATTATTTTTTTCTCTCATTGATAGAGTAATTCAGTGGGAACGAGCATGTGCATGCTGGACGTGGTCTAGGGGACACAGGTGGACAAAATACCTGTTTATTACAAAAAATGCTTGAAGTTTTCCAAAACTACATTATTTTTCATCCCATAAAAGTATTTTACAAATGCTTTATGGAAACATAGTCCAGCTCGTGAATCCATCCTAAAGGGGCTGGAAATGATGATGCATGAGCTAACAACTCCTTGGCGGCAGTGTGTAAGTATATACGAGCATGGATTAACACTGAACTAATCCAAAACAAAAAATTTTGACACATTCTTAATAAAGTAGTTCTGAATTTTGCATTAGGTCAGAAGGTTCAATATTTTATTTTTTGTTCTTCCTAAGTGAGACCAAAACAAATGTAGAAATATCAGCCATATATTTGAGGCAGATGTTATGTTGCTTGGTCAGTTTTATTTGTTGCTAATCTGGGTCCAGCTTGAGGGCAAATTAGCAGCAGCTATAACATTGTTCTGATTGCTTCTGATGAGCTGGGATTGGCTGGAAATTCAGGATTTATGTATTCACTCTAAATACCATTGTGTTCTGATAAATCTCACTGTTTTATAATTTCAACCTCTTCTACCTATCACTATTACAGTACCGAGAGATCAAATTATGGCACAAGGCTACATTTGTTGCAAGCAAAAGATCAGAAATACTGCACTGACATCCACTGACCTTAAGAAAGCACCATCTGATTTTAAACTTTTATTGCTTTTGTTTTTATTTTAAGACAAGATTTCTCTTGAAAGTCATTAAAATATGGTATTTTGTGACATTCTTTTTACTTCAGCTTTTCAGCTTTTATGATGCACTCTCAGATCACATTTCTTGACTTTTCCCCAAGAGCAGAAAAGATAAAAGCTGACTTACAAAGGCTGGGATTCTCACCTAATCATATGCCTTTAGGAGCTAAAAACACATCTAAATATTTCAAGGCTTTAAAAAAGTTTATGAGAGGAACATTGCTGTAGACTAAGCATCTAAGAATAAATGAGCTATATACATAGCTGGTGCAAATTGGTATAACAGTCTAAAATGAACCAGGGTAAATTGCAACAGCTGAGAATCTGGCCTTTATTCATTTTTTGAAAGGAAAAATAAGTGGGTGGTGAAGGAAGTTTTGCACCTTTATTCATGTTGAGAACTTCATCCAAGGTACCTTCATCTAGTATTCTGAAGAAAAAAACCCAGTGATCACGGTGTGCAGCAATTGCTACTCATGGTGTAGGTGATTACTACGTATGCTGAAACCCACAAAGCCTACTGCAATGCAATTTATTAAAAAAAGCAATAAATTCACCTTGGTGCCCCTTGAATGGTGAAGGCCTTGTCTGCGTGCTGATCTCCCAGCTTCGTCATCACTTCATATAGTTTGTGACATAGCTGAGAAAACAAAACACTTGCCTGAGTTCATATGAAGCACTATAACCATGATTAAAACACACAGGTGATAAATCTGGTCTGATAACTGATAACCTGATAATATATAATCTGATAACTTTAAAATGGCATATAGATCCCTTCCAAAAATACTCAGTGCCATGTATATCAAAAGCCTAAGGGGAAACCTATCAAAATCCATAGAATCAAATATAACAACAGTTCTTCAAAAATGTAAGCTGGTTTTCAGAGAACAAATTTATAAGTGTAACTGACTGCTACCCGATCTCTGATGAAGGAAGTGGCCTAAAGTTTAAAGCAACATGGGTAGCCAAGAAGATTCATGTTTTTCCCTCAAAAACCTAACCCAAATTTACATGGGACTTCAGTCAAGTGAGTTTTCCATACCATTTTTGTTCCTATTAGTAGGTTATTACTGATAATACACTACCACTTAGCAAGGTACATTCAAAAGATCCTCACTGGAACTGCTCAACTTGCTTAATAGTCCCAGATATAATGTTGCATTGCTGACAATGTATATAGCAGTCTTGAAGGGAATGCTTGACATGTTTTTCTTGTACTGATTAAAGCAATGAGATGCTTAGCAATCGGACACGGAAAAAATACTGAAGGCAACAGTATGCTAAAAAGAAAGGAGAAGTTATCAAAATAGAAAGTGAATTTAGCGCTACAACTGATAATGCACTGTAATCCAAAATTGTACGGGCTGCCCTTTCCTTAAGGAGAGTACAAAAATGGCAAGTAGAAACCAATACAAAGGTTATGCTACAAATCTGTATCTAGGGCAAATTCTCATGTGTGCCTCTGCTAGATTTTTACTGCTGCATTACAAGACATTTGCTTGCTGTTATGCATATCATATAATACATTTTACATGAGATATTCATTTTTACTCACTAAAGCTATTTCCTTGTGAAACTTGGCTTCGAGGCTGGATACATTTTTGAAGGTGTTCACATAGAAGCCAACTCGTCTACCGAGGATGGCACAAAGAAAGGAAAAAGAGAATGAAAGATAGGGGTGGGAGGGCCAGAGAGGAAAATTAATCAATTTTTTTCCAGACTACAAGCAACATTCTTGATTATTCTTAGCAAAGCAAATTGGATCAAATGTCAATATTTCAGACTAGTTCGTTCATGACTACTTCTGTTTGTGTTAAGAACCATCATATTTCACACCACTCAGCATGAACCAACCCTCCACAGCGGGGGGCTTCAGCTTGTTTTAGATAAGGGGAAGATTGGAAAAGGACTGGCACGAGTGTGGCACAAGCACACGGAAGGCAAGGTGCTCTAGGCACCCCGTCTCCCACCGGACAGCAGGCAACCATGACTGAAAAGAGAGAGGCACCACTCCGGCACTGCGAGCGCCTGCGCCCTAGATGCTACCACAGCACCTAGGTGATGCAGGTGTGTCTGGAGGCAGCTTTAAGGTATACAGCTCAGTATGGCCTGGGGGTGGGTGTCCCATGCTCAGCCCTCCTTAAAGAAATCAGCCCTGAAATACACACATATGTTTGTAAGAGAAAATAGTTTCCAATATAGACTAGACATTTTTGCACATGCAGTCAAAAATCTGCTTGCTTGGAGTGAGTGACTACATACCTCTTGTACGCTTCGAAAGTAGAAGGTGTTTTCTTAGGTTTTGAATTATTCTTTTTCCTATTTAAAACTTTCACGTGTAATTTCTCCAAACTTTTATTAACAAAAATCACCTTTGGCATAAGAATAAGCCTGCAAAATGTCAACTCAATGGATCATTTTCTTCCTGAAGAATTGTAATAACTAAAAAAAAGGACTCTGGAAGTAATTGCTTTCTAAATTATGCCTACTGCTCAAATTAAATTCTACCTTTCCCTGAGACTAGTTAGTGGGCAACACACATACTGAAATAAAAGGGTCCTTACTCTAAATCATTCATATGCAGGTTTTACTTTTAGTAAGCCCATAAAATAAGTATCTTGAAGTGCTAAGAAGATTTTCAACTGAAATAGGCAGAAACACAGCAGGAACCCCCTCTATTGATCTGAAATTTAACAGAATTTGATTTAGAAGGCAGAGAAGACAAAGGGTACTTCAGTGACTCACAACACACTTCCACACCAGACAGTCATTTGTTAAAGTATATAGCATATTAATGAGATGCTTATTTTTCTACCGCTTTTGTTCTCCTGTTCATTTGGTCTGGATTTTCTGTATAAACACAGTCTATGATTATACATCCCAAATGAATAATCTATGCCACCAAATGCTTTTACATCGCAGACATGGTCAGCACAAAACTATGAAATGTGTATTCTGAAGTAGTTATAATATTATTTTTCCCTTCTTCTACAGCTTTGGTAGTACTTTATAGGAACTTGAAAATGACAACTACCATGAAATCTTTATACATTGGTAAGGTTCTTCATTTCAATACCTTTTACAGAAAAATGACCTAGAAATAGACCCACTGCAAATCTTGTAGAAAAAGGTGTAGCTGCTCTGTACGGTTACATTTGACAGTGGAAACATTTGATCCTTTTTATTAACAAGTGGCATTTTTTTTTTCCTTGAAAGGATCAGGTATCCATCACCAAGATTTCTGAGAAAGGTGACGGAAGCAGTGGGTCGTGGTCACGATCAGCTGTTCTGTGCTCTGCCACCGTTCTTTATCCATAAAATGGAGACCTTTTTGCACTTCAGAATGAAGATATGATAAAGAATCTTAAGTGCCAAGATACACTGAAAGAAATAAGCATAAATACACTTACAATAAGTATAATTTTGGATCACTTGCAGGTATTTTCCCTGTTATTTCAAAAAGATAATGGATGGGATCTTCAAGAAGCCATCAAAACATTTTCTATCAGCTTGTCAAAATCCCCTGGTTCCCTTCCCTTAGTCCCCCTTTAGGCCTTCCAGACAGTATCTGCCTAGGCTTACCGTGACCACAGAGATGGCAACTCTTCTTGTAAATCAGTGTTAAACTCTTCAAACACTTTCTGTGCTTTTTGAAACTCTTCTTCTGCCTAAAACAAAATGAAACAGGGTGACTTCTGCAACCACTATGATATAGCAAAACCTGCATAGGTTAGTTTTTGCATTTTTTTGTGGGTCTTTTACAATATTTATTAACAAAGGATGTGACTCAGTCCCACGCCATACAGTCCAACACAGGACTTGCTGTCCCCTCAGTCTCATCAAGAGAGAAAGTTAGGGGTCAAACAGGACTCATTCCTGAAAGAGGCTGAGCGCACCCTCCCCACCCACCAAAATACTTAATACACATTTATGCTTAAGGATATTGCTAGTTCCATTTCTGAGAGAGGAAAAAGAAGAGAAACTTTGTACTCAGTCTCTGCACAGAAACAAATGCCACCCAAGCTCCTGATGTCTTCTGCCAGCATCCTTCTTAGTGTGCTACCTTGGTAATTCTGCCTTCGTCTTTTCTTTTTGAGCTCTGCAGGGCTTCTAGATGATGCCTTGCACTGTCGTAGTCCACCAGCTTTCTGCTTCGTTTTGCAATGCGAGTCTGTACAGAGGTAGAAATGAAAGTCAGCACAAATGCTGCTTTTTTAAAAGCTATTTTATTTAAGTTGTCATTTAAGTTTTTGATATATTTTTATTCTCCCCCATCTGCTGTTCATATCTGACTTACTATAATATCATACAGGAACATGGGCATGGTAAAAGAGACAAACTAATCACCCTATTTTAAATAAGGAATCCATTTACAGATGGTTTGAAAGGGTTTTTTGTGGGTGTAGGGCTTACAGGCCTTAGAAGTGAGATATCAATGTTATGCAAGACTTGTCTCATTCTCCAGAATAAGTGGACCTGTTAAACTCATGGTAACACCATCTTTTTCCCTTATATATAGTGTGCAAATTTAAGGAATAATTAACATAATTTTTTCTAGAGTTGGAAAAATGCTTAAAATATACTTCTCAGTATATTTGCTCTGACACATAACTAAGATAACTGGAGTTCAACATACAATAGGAATTCTAATTTACCTGCTGTAATTCTTTTATAACTAAAAAAAAAGTCCTTTGATATATACTGAATTTACAAAGCTGTATATTATATGTAAATTCCACATGCTGAGAGAGCATAAGCACGGTTTGATTCACGATCAAGTTTGAGACTGAGCATCAGTAATGTTGGGATTTTTTATTTTGGTATTAACCCCTGATGTAAATGACAAAGGGGATGACTGTGTGATACCTACTCAATTATAAACCATCACAAAGAATTTCCAGCTATGTTCACAAAATCCCATCCAAATATAAAAGTATCTACCTCTCACCTGTAGTGATTCTTTAAGCCCACACTTTTCATTTAGCAACTATCTCCCTGGACTGTACACTGGACAGGCATCTGGGAGAAGCTAGAACCTGCATAACAGTCCCTCCTGATGTGTATTACAAAATCTTTTTATAACTAATTAAAAGACAGGAACCATGGCTTAGTTAAGAGAAAGATATTTAGATACCCACAGGTGCATCTAGCCAATAATAAAAGGCCTGCTTTTCATCTTGTAATTTGTCTGGCTTTTTAACAGTTGAAGAGCTTGATGTGTCCCTGTTGAAGTCAGTGAGAATTATCTCATACCAAATAAATAGCAGCAGGAAAAAAACATTATAAAAGTTTTGTCTACAAAGGCTAATTTACTTCCAAGTACTATTGCATGAAAAAAATTTTTGTTCACTTGGAAAATTAGTGCAGCCTAATGTCAGGGATTTACTTACAGAACAACATCTTTTACATTGCAGAAGAGAATGACTTCCACCTCCCCCCCTTTTTTTATTTGTCTTTGCTTGTAATTTCATTTTCTATTTATTTTATGACACAACAGTAATTTTACAGATTGTCCTTTATAGGAAATCAACACTGTACTTTGATATCAGGAAATTGTCCTAGATATGTATCCAAGGTCAACAACGACCCATCCACCAGTTTTTGATGGAAGTCTTCCCAAAGTTCATCACATTTCTGTAAAGGTAGAAAAGAGATAAATGCACTTAATAGTTTAATTCCACTCCAAACCTAGGAGAAATAAAAATTTAATTGGTAAAGATCAATCTTTCTGAAGTTTTAAAATGTTCTTTGTGACAATAAATCAGAGTGCACTTATAAGGTACATGAAAAGGAATACCCTGACATTGCAAGTTTTAATTCACAACAAAAGAAGATTTAACTTAACAACTAGTTTGTGTTTTCATTCTTTCAAACAGTAACTGCTATGTGAAAATAAGGGTATCAAGGATTCAAGGTCTTCCTCAGGATTTCAGGTCCCTGAGGGTCAACAACGCAGAATCTGAAGCTGCCCTAGTTCTTACGCCTAAGTATGTTCACTGGTGATGAACCTTCTGTACAGAGAAAAGAAGTACAACTAAAAATAGAAAAGTAAATAAAATAAAGGAAAAGATAAACCAGGTTTCCCATCGATTACAAGGATTTGTAAGCTTAGCTTTGCTTGATGGTTTTTAAAATAAAATCTGTGGAGATCCACTCTAAGAAAGGTCTTTCCATCCCATACTTCTTGTGTCATTAAGGTACATTTGATGAAATGGACGATGCACAGACAAGAACTCTACCTCGCACTGCTAGAGAACTGCAATTCCAGATCTGCAACATGCCAACATCAGCAGCCAAAATAAACAAAATCCCCCCCAGGAGCTACAGTGCTTTTCCCCAATCCCCTTTCAGCTCTGGGGTAGTCACCGGGAGACATGTTTGTTTTCCGGTTTTTAAGAACATGTTAATGCAGCTGATGTGACAAGGACCCCGCAGGGAGCAGGGTGAGATTCCTTGCCAGAAGCAAATCCTGTTACATAGAGATATAGTGCTCGAGGTCCAGGGTTCTCAACTGAACAAGTCATTAACATGTGTTAAACACCCTGATCCCCTTTTTCTTTGCACATTTCAAAAATCACTGAACTCCCCTCTTTGATGGGAGGGAGGCTAAAGGGGCAAACACTGCTTTGCAGGGCTGTTATCCTCACCGGCAAGTCCGGAAAGCTATTCCCTAGTGTTTTTTTTATCATGAGCCACGATAGGGCATATTATAAATGCTGTGTGATGACCGCATTCAGCTCATTCATTTTCTACCCTAACAGAGTCCCTAATGAATTATTACAATCTATTAATCATGCTTAAAAGAAATATTTATTAACACAATATTTAATCAGAGTGGTCTACAGAGCAGCATAACATTAGATCATAGCAAGCAACTGCTAGTCTTGTGCATTTGCCTTTGTATCTTGCTGATACATATTTTGGACAAATTAAAATCAAGGAGGTTTTCTGAAAGCTAATGGGCTCAAAAAACATTGCTGAAGAGTCCTTTAAGCCATCATCTTTCCTACCATACAGAATAAGGTCATTTACATGGATCCCTTTTGGAATGATCATTTATATCGTGGACTGCACAAATGTATCATTCTTTTTTATTGCAGGTTGAGGGATGCATAAATCTACATTTGTGATTGTATAGGGAAAAAATCAGGAGCAGAAACTTTGTAATGTTGTCCACATGAGTCTCTCATTAAGAAGACACATCTAACATTTATCCCTGTATCTAATAGAGATTAAGAGCCAAATGTTGGTCCTTTCATACACAATTACAAATTTCTGAGTCTAAAATCTAATAGTCTACAGATACAAGATGAGGTGCTACAGCAAGATGGAGCAGAAGATCTTCCAGCTGTTTAACCTAAGACAATATAAAAGATATGGTATCTCAACTTATACAGTTTGGAAGTTGAGTGCTTTTAAAATTAAAAACACATCATGCCTTCAGCAGCAGGAAAGGGCAGAGGGAGGCAGCCATAGAGAAGAAAAGCAATCATTACACAGATTCAGGAAGATTGCTCTGCCTTCCAGTTTCTTGTTAATTGTATTATCCAGGAAGCCTTGCAAACTGAATGCCAGGTGGTTAAAAGCTGCATTGATAACAGTTCACACCTTCTTGTCACCACCAGCACATTTGTTGACAGACTTCCCCCAGAATCAAGGCTGTTTACTCTTAAGCAGGCAATTCAGAGCACCTCCAGTAAAGCTCCTGCAATGTCCTCTAGAAAAGCCTATTTTTCTCTAATCACTGAAGGAACCTCAGAAAGGCTAAAATGAATAGTACCCTGCAGTCTAATTTAGCCTTAAGCTCCATATTCTTGTCAGAGAAAGGTCCCATCAGGTATCCTGTTTAGTGCCACTGGCTCAACAGTTGTTACACAGCACGCAAGGATAAGCGGATTTAATAATTTTCAACATTCAGGTGAACTGAGAATCCTGACTGTAAAACCACACGTAAGATACTTTGCACAAACTTGTCAATCAGTTGCTATCAGGACCAATTCTGCTCACACTGATGTTGACCTCAGTGGGATCTTACATCAGCTAGATCATAAAATAGACATTGCAAATGCGGCATCTGGTCAGCAGGAGGTGCATTTCACAAGACCAATAATTTCTATGCTCAAAAAACAGGATTTAACATACGACGAAGAATTAAGGGAAATTTTGGATGTACATTTCTCCTCAACAGCTCAGATTAATCCATTTGCAGCCAAAATACTTTTTTCCTCTTTCCAGACATCTTACCTCTCCAATCATTTTCACATCTTCTCGTCCGTACCAATCTGGCTCATAAACTTCATGAAGAGACTCTGTAAGTTTCTTTGAGGCATCTTGCATCCCTGTAATTAGACAGAAGGAGGAACATATAACTGCAAACTACAAGAAACAGTTGCTAAATATCTTTATTTTGACCCACATGTACCCACTATACTATTCCCTTTAGCATGTTTAGAACATTGTTTTCAAGAGCTGAAACAAAACCTTTGTTTTCACCCAGCTCCCCCAGGTTAACAAGACATGTCCCTCACAGAAGGATTAACCCATATTTATATGCAGGAAAAAAGTTTCTATCAGATTAGGGATTCCATTTTCTATTCTGAACTAAACATGTCTGAACATGAATAACAACTCGGAGGGTAGTCCTGCCCACTAAAGACGTTTAATACCCAACTGAAAGACTGTCACTGAGAAGGCAATCAAATAGAAACGTGCCTTTTGTTATTCTCAGCTCTTCCACCCTACAGAACAGTTTCCTACCTTGTCCGTAATGAGTACCATGCCCACCTGTGTGGAAAAGGAGGCATGTCCAGGGTGGCATGGTTAAAATGGCAGAGATTTATGGGAATTGCTGGCTATAAAAATGGACTTAGGAGAAAAGCTAGAAGGGATTTGTGGTAACCAAAAGTGCTACCCAGAATGGGGGAGGTTGCACACAGGCAGAACATATCTCAGGATTTCTCTGTTTCCTTGTTTTCAAAGATATTTAAGTCTCAGGAGCTTTCACATGTAAAGTGAGTGGTTAAGAAAAAGCAGCTTGTTATTCTTGTGCCTACAATAATGATGGTGACCGAAAGATAAGCAAATAATGAAGCAAAGGAGTGGCAAGAGCTGAGGCAGTGTCCACAAGTCTAGGGAAAAGAGATATCTGAACCTGGGGAGAGTGCCGTAATGGACCTGGTTTTATGAAGAATGATTATCTTGTATGCACACCTGGTAGGTTTAGAATATGTGGAGCCCAGCGCTTATTTACACTTGCAGCAGGGTGGTGTCTACAGAGAAGTGTGCTGAGCCAAACTGCATCAGTCACCTTTGGAGCTCTTGCTACCACAGGTGAAACAAGAACGGGGACTATTGATGGTTATCACTCTATAATACACAGAGGAGCTGGCTTAAATGTCAAGTAGCTTCAATGATATTACAAGAAAGAGCCTAAATTTATCTTCAGTGAGATCAGTTTGACCCCAGTGAATAAATTACTGCCCTCAGTGAAAGCACCAGAGTTTGCCTTTCTGTTTTGATGGAGCACAAATACATTAGATGTTGAACATGGTTCTGAATCCAGTGAAACAAAACTGATCTCACCTAACATGCTAAGAGGCAGTTCAGAAGCAGTAATTTTAAAATGACAACTTTATTTCAACTTCTTTGCAAAATCTGAACAACTCTGTCAATTTTTTTACCTTGCATTAACTTTTTTTTAAAAAACACATTTTTTCTCCAGCCAAAGTCTGTTTGCTGCAGCACATCTGTGCTGTATTGAAAATATCTCTAGCGCGATCTTCAGATTTAACTCCTCACTGGCTGAATTTAGGAATGACATCGATATTTCTGTTTTCTGCACAAAGAAATGTTTAGGAGTGGAAGAGGAGAATTCACTTGAAACTTGACTGTCTAGAAGAGCAGATGACCTAGTCAGTAGCTATTCCACCATGCACTCCAAAACACACACTCAAGATATGACAGGAAAATAAATGCAATAATGCACACTTACTAATATAAAAATGGTGGTCTACGGAATGGGTAGGATAGGAAAAAAGATACTGAAAAAGCTGAAAGTAGATGGCTATTCTCAGACCTTGGGTTCAAGGGAGGGAATGGCATGGGAGAGGGGGAGAACAAGTACAAAGGAAACCCTGGTGTTCAGAGGTTACAAGCTTTCACCCTTAAATCCAAAGGTGCTGTGCCAAAACAGAATAATTGATCTCCTCAGGGATTGTCTTGGGGGTGCCTTTTAAAGACACAGCTCAGCTCAGAGAATTGGTATAGCACAAGAACTTAAGACGCATTTCTTTCTTTTCTCCTTTGTGGTTAATGCTTAGGATAATGTATCAGTAGCTAAGAAAGGGTTCCTGAATGAAGGGGCTTTTTTGCCTAGAATATGTCAGATTACAGTAAAATACAAATGATCTTCACATATTTTTCCAGGCAGGACTCATTTAAAATCTTTAATGCCACTGCAAATTCATCAACTCAGGAAGCAAGGCAAAACCAGCACAGTATCGCCGTGCTTAAAAAGCTGCTTCGATCCACTCAGGGCAAACGCACAGACCAGGAAGGTTTGCACATCCCTGCTCACGCTTGATCCTTTCTGATACCTGAACTTCTGCCCTTAAGCACGCTGCGTACTAAACCTCCCACGTACGTTCCTGTGGTAGGCACGCTAGCACAGCTGCTTGCTAATCCCTCCTGCAGCTTGCATTCAGCTCAGTCACACACCAGGCTTGGGTAGAGCACCTTTTCCCACGCAGAATTTCTTTTTTAAATACTACAGGACTCAGGCATATATCTGCTTAAGAGAACAAGTAACAGACACAATATCCCATGCTTGAGTCATATCAAGGTTGCACCAACTTTTACACTTGTTTCAGTTCTGAGAATCTGGTAATCCTTCGTTCTACCACATTCCTGTAAAAAATATCAATCAAAGCCAGCTGCAGTGTGAGGCAAGTGGGGTATTACAGTATTTGGCTTCCTCCGTCGGGGGTTCAGTCTGAAATTTCACAGACCAAGATCATCCATCCTGCCCCCCTAATACTGCATCTGTACTAGCTTTACTGCAATACCCCAAATGAGCACATAGGTAAATACCAACCTGGTAGCTTCCGATTCTTTTTCATGCCTGTGGGCATAAACTTACAATGTCCAATGATTTTTTATTTGGCTGGTTTTCACATAGAATTGTTTCTTATGCACTGATACCTTTTATGCATTATTCAGCACTAAAGTTAAGAGGATTAGTGACAGCCATAGACTGCAGGCTGTCTGTCTCTGCTGTTTTTAACTGCTATCACGGAGAAAGATGAATTGTTTAAAGCAAGTAATTAAAGTACTATGAAATGTGAAAAGAATTTTTACTGCTGATGAACAGTTAGAAATTTATATTTAATATGAATTGTTTCATTTAGTACCGCTTCTTCTTGGTAATTGGGTCACTTATTTAATAACTACAAATGCCAAAATGATTGAATCGCTTAGGAAAAATGATGCTAAATAATCCAGTTACTGAAGTCTGAGGCTCTTGCATGAAATCATTCCTCTTTCTATGGGAAAGAGCCCCTGTCCCTGGAACACCAAAGGACTCCTAGAGGCCCCCACATGGTAGGGATCCTGGGGGTGGTGCAGAGACATTCCCCTTACAATGCCCTAGAGATGGCAGAGGGTAGGTGACTCTTTGCCATCACAATTCCAATGTACTGAAGCTCCCATGGAGATTTGAGACTGGCCTGGGACTCCATGTTGGCTGTAGGACTCACTCCCCAGCAGGAAAATCTAGACTGAATCATGGGGAAAATTCCATTTTCCTGATGGAGCGAGGCACCTTGGTCTGGCTTTTGATATTTAATTATTTGAGTGGGGAAGAGAGCTTCATGTGAGGCTCTCCAGGGAAATGACTTATCCTGCCATAAGAGTTGTATCTGATATTGCTAGTTATCCATTAGGGTTTCCACTGGAACAATTCAATCATTTCATAATTCATTACTAAATCTTACAGAAAGACGATGAATAGTTTCATTGCTTCTAAGAAATTACATGATTGATTTTAAGATTTGTGTGTCTGGAGGATATGTGCAGTTCTGTCAGTCACAGACTGACAACCAGGCAGCAAAACTGCTTACAGACCTCCAAAACCTCCCCTTCCCTTCCTGTAGACCGGTTACTATTTCTCACTGCCTTAAGTCACCTGAAAAGTATGGTGCTTCTTTTTCATGATGCAGGATTCCTTTTCACCTCTGCCACCTTGCCACCTGCGTGCAGATCCAGGTCTGTATCTCCCTATCTGCACTGGTACTTGCAAAGAGCTCAGGGTAAAGAATGGGAGGCTGATTTAGGGTTGCTTTAAAAATTGGCCCATAAAACCATTCAAGTCACCTACAGCTCTCAAAAGCTTAAAAAAAAAAATCATGAAGTAGAGAACCCAGACAGACGTTGCCAAGGAGACTGGAAGAGACAGAATACCGAGGCATGAGATGATTATAGCTATGGGGAAGAGTACACAGTCTCGTCAGTACAAACACCACTGATACATAGCAGACGTTAAACTATCAGGCAGGTGAAATAAAACAGCACGTAAAAGCCATTCCCAAGTTCAACAGCTTTCAACAGCTTTATGACATGGTTCCTCCGAGTCCTTGTGTAACCAGCAGTAAAGATCAAGGTCCAGCTAAGACTAAGAAGCACCGCTGAGCGAGAGAAGAAGTCTGAATACAGCAAAAATTCTTTTATTTTAAGACTGTGTGACACCAAACCTCAAACTGTCAAGTATATTAAAATGAAAGCATAGAGGATCATAAGAAGGCTCAACTGACCATTCCTTGCTTAAATCATGCCCAGATCTCGTACTTCCAACTTCCAATATCCAGTCACTCACTCATGTAGCAAAATGAAACTTATTACCAGAGTTCACAACATACCAGCTTCATAAAATGCTTTTCAAGTTAGATATCTTGTCAATTCCTGAAACCCTTTAAAATGAACTGCTTTTCTCACACCTGTAGGAGTACAAGGATGTCAAGTGCATTATTTTCCAATGATATGACCGACCTTTTTCCCTGCAAAATGAGCCCCTGATGACAACATGCCTCCAAAGCTCAGATGTCCCTAGGTGCAGAAATCCCACTCCAGTGCCTAAATGCGGGGGTTCCCATGCTTTTGTGCATAGCCACACCAAATGTTTTAACAATGGCAGTCCTTCAAAGAATAGCAACAAAGGGGCTGTAGCAGTTGCTGGATTTGCTTTTGCCATTCAAAATCTGGAAGGGCCTATGGCACTGCTGAGCTAGTCAGCTTTGGGGAAGCCCCAGACGGAGCTCTGTTTGTGGACTACCGACTTGGGCTGTCCTCCCACTCCACAGCATGAAGGTGTGCCAACATGTGTGCCAAGGATGCCCACTGGTGACTTGTTGGCTTTGGAGAATAACATTTTTAAGGCTTTCACGAGCTGCTTATGACTGAGTCTTTTTTAAGACATGAAGATACTGAAGTGTTAGCAAACACTTTTCATTCTCAGTAAGAAAGTCAGTCCAAATTATTTTCAAATATGGACTTATAGGCTGCAACAAGAGAAAGATGCTGAACAGAAAAGCATGGCTAAAAAGGTAAAGCTTGCACAATGAAAAATTTCATGCCAAGTTAAAACCAAAACTCGGTGCAAAGAGTAGCCCACTAGACAGTAAACCAGCAAATGCACAAAGTACTAGGAAAAGAAGAGAGAGAAAGAGAGAGAAAGAAAATGAAACATGGAGAGGAGGATTGTTGTCACCAACAGGGAAATCAAAGCAGTATGTAAACAGTCAGCCTACGTGACAGAAAAGCCATCTGGCCAACAAACAGCCTCATCACGCTGCTTCTGAGTATCCATCTGATAATGGGTATGGGGAAGGGATGATTGAAAAATGAGAACGTGAAATCAGCATCCAATGGGTCCTGAAAAAATGACCAATGCTGAAATTTCGTCTAAGAACAAAAGACATTGTTCAAATCCCTACAAGGCAAAATACTCTTGTCTGGTATAGGATTTTCCTTGCCCAGTCCATCCAGCAAATAATAGATTGTCAAAGACATTAAGCTACTGCTTTGTTCCCCATTTTATAATTCCCATCAAAAAGAGGTTTCTTTCCCACCTGTCAACAGCTGCTGAAGCTTTATTATGACACAGTGATTTCCAGGGATGTTAATACTGGTTTGTAACATTTTCCCTAGTGGACTGGAGCCAGGTAAAAAATATATACACATATATATACACACATATAGCTATTTATCACACATATATATATATATTTATCTCAAGAAGCCATTACTGTCTCTCTGTCAGTCACCAACTCTTATTCCCTTCGCTTTAGCACCTGGCCTCCAACTCCTCCAAAGAGAGGTGGCATGAGAAAGAGAACACTTTGTGTATGGTGCTAAGTTGAACGTGCTGGATTTACAAATGTCCGATAGGATTTAAATAGCTGTTTACTTAATCTCTAATATTTAAGTGCTGACCAGTGAGCTTCTGCTACTTGGATTTTCAATGTAGTATCGAAAGAGATCACATTTGATTTTTAAACTTTAAAAAAATGGATTAAACAGGCAGAAATACATAAAAAATCACGTCATCACAGGGAGTGTGGTTTTGGAGGGAGAAGATCATCATCCAGCTACTAATAACCTGGAAATGTTACAGTTGTGCAGGTCAAGCAATCCCTTGCCTTGCATGGGGTATTTCATATTCTAGCATTTGCAAAGACGAGTAACAAGATGTATAGATTTTGTGGATGCTCAAAATGCATGCAACATGAGAATCTGGGCAGCAGTCCTGCACAAAAAGGACAGCCAAGGATGAGCTGTGCATGCAAGACTGTACATACATGAGTTGACATTGAAGGTGCAGAATCCCTAGCAACAGGCTAAAAAGCCTGTGCCAGATCCAAAGCAGAAATGTGGACTACTAGTGACAAAACCAATATTGCTTGTAGTTGTCTTTGTATACTTTAAACAAGCCTACTTGTCTCAAATTTTAAAAAAGTTTCCTTTATGAAAACATGACGTAAAACCTAAAAATCACCTTTGATGGCTGCTAAATATCCTCTCAGTTCTCTCTGGAGCCTGGAACCCTCTGCCTGGAAAAGAAGAAACAAAAAAAAGCAAGGAAGTGAAAACACATTTCAGTTATGTTATTGAAAACACATTTCAGTTATATTTTATGCCTTAAAACATGCATACAGTGTGTCAAACTTAACAACAAAAAGCAATTTCAGGAGCTATCTGATGAATAGTGTCACATGTTGCAAGCATGCACAGGTTCATCCAGAAAAGGTGGCCTGCCTAAGATGCTATGCATAGTGTACTCTCTAGGCTAAAATTTCTGGTTTTATTTTATCAGTCATCTGGACACAGAAGAATTCCAACCAAAGAAAGACAGGTATATTTTATGGCCAAGGTCCAGTTCAAGTCAGCCTGGCCAATGTCCTGACCTCAAACACAAAGTATAATCACCTCCACTCCACAACCACTCAAATGAGGCCAGTCTAGACTTGCAGAAAATCCATGCCCTTCTATAAATGGCTTACTACTTTTGCAAACATTTTTCCCAGTATTTTAACATTTTAATATTTTGCAAGCAAATAACTGCCAAGAAACAATAGCATTAGTTATTTTGTTTAGCTTGGCTAATGCATCTTGCAGTCTGCTGTGAAATCTCAACTGCTTCTTTGGCAAATACATCAAAATGATCTTTCTTTATCTTATACGAATAGCCTTTGAAAAACTCAGAATAGACAAAACAAAATGGGTTGCTTTACTTTATCTCTGACTATGACAAGTTGGACTTCACAGCTCTTAGGATTTGCAATAAAATATATGCTACACTATAGCACATACTTTATTGCTAAAAAGCTGTTGTCCAGGACACCTTCAATAGTCTGAAGATTCTGGAAACAATCCACATTTATCAGTTCCCAATATCTTTCAAATTATTTATTTAAGCAGTTGGAAACTATAGGAATATCAGCTTGCAGTCACATTTTCTCACATACAGCTACACCATATGGAAAAATCAGCTGCAAGATATGACTGACTGCTTTGGAGTTTTTCTTCTATTTTTCATGTGAAAGTTAGATCCCAAAAGGCTGCATGTGTGAATACTTTAGAAGGCAGAGTCTTGACTGGTATAAGCTGTTGTAACTCCACTTAAGTCAAAGGACTTCTGATGTCAGTAAAGGGTTTGCCATCAGCAGCAGTGATGTTCAGAGCATTCAGACACAGAGGATCATAAGAAATTCAGGTTGAAAGGGACCATCTGGAGCTTAGAATCCATCTACCTGCAGCCATGTTAAATCCAAACAGTGGTTCTCAAAAAATACTCACTTGCCTCCCCAGTACACACATTTGCAGATTACATCTACCAAACTCACTTGCCTCTCCCAGCTCCCTGTAGGGAACTGGAGGCTTTTAGAACTGGATCAAAAGCCTCCAAATTGCAATGCAGCATAAGAAGAGAATAAGTGTTTTAAGGTCCTGGAAATACTAAAGGGTTTAGAAGGTAAAAATGCCTGAGTGGGCAGACTGAATTCACTTTATGGATTCAATGAACAGAAGGTTGCTTTTGCACTAATTTGATTTGAAGCAAAACTCCTTTTTGAACCTAAATCCATTAATCAACTAAATTCTGAGCACAGGAATAGACCCACCAAAGGTGATATCTGAGAAGCTGCTGAGTAATAGCAAGAGCACAACAGCACTCAGACCATCAATCTGTCTCTGGTTTGGGACCATATTTGATGCTCCAAGGAAAAGGAAATACTTCCCTTGCTTCAGGATCAAAATTACATATCAAAGCGGGAGCCAGACAGGCACCAGTTGAGTAATCAGTGGATTAAACCTCAGGCTTAATTACTTACAGCACAACAAAAAGTTCTTTAAGTAGTGGTAGCTTGATCCTTAAGAAAATATACACATGTACATTTTCATACTGTTTAGTAAAAAGTACTACCCTAACGCATCATAAAACACATTTTATCATCTTATATAACACGGTAGCATCCTAACACACTTCAGAAGCTTTTTTCTACTTCTTTCCGTCCTAGAACGGGAGGTAGAGAGATGACAGAAGTTAGCTTTCCACGAAGCATTAAGTGAACAACACTGCCACAGAGGAAAGGAGATTGAACCCGGGTACAGAATTTCTCTAAGATCTGAAGAGGAGTATCAGTAAACATGCAGCAGAAAGAGGAGAGAAGTTCCCCTTTTATGCATGCCCGTCTCCTGCTGGGAGGATCCCTTGTACTCTGAGAAGCCACATGAAGGTGTAGAAATTGTCTTTCCAATTCATATCTTCTTTGGCCTGAGCGCTAGTATAGCATCATAGCTTGCAGTGAAAATGGGAAGTAGATACTCACAGCAACTCAATTCTTCGTCATGGTCCAGCTGAACAGGTGCCCATACAATAACAATTTTTAGTTATTGAAGAATTTCTGATGTTTCAGAAGCAACAAACTGCAGCTGGATGGCTCAGAACCCTGTCAGCTATCCTCATGTCCAGTAAAAGGCCTATATTTACTCATACACGTGCCATTTTGTCACTAACTAGCACACCACAAATGGCATGTCAGGGACACGCATTGCTCAAACACCATATTTATAACTGTACTGCTATGTAGTTTTATGACTGGTAGCCTAAACCACTATGAGATCTATTGTGGCTGGTTAGCGTCGTGAGTCATCAGCAACCACTGCTCAGGAAAATGTGGAAGAAAAAGTCAAAGCAGTAAAGCATGATGCAAATATTTTGCCATGTGTGCTATTACGAATTCCGACAATTCATTCAAAAGAATAATTTTAGCATGAATCTCCCTCAGTATAGGTCAGGAGGCCACAAATGACGGAAATATCTAAGCAGTACAGAGCCATATGAATTTTTCCTCATTAGCAAACATTGTATGACACATGACATTAAAGCATCCATGGGCAAGGGCCAGGTCCCATTGAATTTGAGAGCAAATCTCTCAGTTTCAGTGGCAACAGAATTAGACCTTTCTATAAAATACCAGAAATAAAAATTTGCATCAGAAGTCCTCAGCCCTGTGAATTATGCAAAATGTGTCTCTGGTCTACACATTTTGCTATAGTAAACTCACTATTAGTGAAGATAGATACACTTTTTTCACCTAACAGACTAATCAATATTCACGGATGAAAATGCTGCATTGCTGGCTCCGCACACCTTGCAAACCATGGCAAACCATAGTGGTTTTAAAAAGCACTGTTTTTAAGATTGCCACATATTTAATATTCACCCTTCTCAAGGCTTACTGATACACTTTTTCTCCTTTCTGATCTATCAGATGAAAGCATCTGGTGGCTCTGAAACCGCTGTTCCAAGTATCTTCATTAAGGCCATCAATTCTGTTAATTGAGATGCAGCTTCTTGAAGAAGAATGAAAAATAGGTGTCATTTTGCAGATGTGCTCCTCTGAAATGAGATTTCCCTAGAGAGCACTGATGCTTCCTTTATCATTTCACAATTTCTTTTATTTGTTCTACATGAGGCAGCAAAATGAGTCAGAGTTTCATAATATGCAAGAAAACTCCAGAGAGAAATCTCAATAGCATACTTCATAGCAATCTTCTCACAATCAGGTTGTTTGAAAACAGCAGACGCGTTCTCAGCAGACTCCAGCACCAGAAATCACTACTCTTAGCTCACCTGGTCAAACTCAACATACAAATTTCCAGAAATCTGTCAGGCAATCCTGTTAAACTGAACATAAGAGCAAGGGAGGCTTGCTGACAACCCAAACCAACATCCCTCACTAGGAAAATTGACACAGCTCTCCACAGCGATGTCCCTAACAGCAACTAGTTACTCTGAACACTGTAGCATACAGTCACTGCCGCTGTCAGCTCCCTTTTTCTACTCTCTGGTCTTACTACACGGTCAGTGTTATGGAGCCAGTAAAGACACGTGCACCCCGTGAGATAAGGAGGCTCAGTGTTTCAGGATCTTGTCATCTACAGCCACAGGTCTTACACGCCTTTATAGCAGCATTAAGCCTTTTCAGTACCACTAATTCTTGTGTATGGTTAGTTCTGGGTTTCTTTTTAAAGAATAGTATTTAAGCATGTCTTAGCACTGGAATTAAGACAAAGAGAGCCACAGCACAGTTGGCTGGAAGACTGATGAGACCTACAAAAACTTAATGACTAAAATGATAAAAAACATGGTTTGTGTCTTACCAGCTTTTGCTTCCTAATGCATCAGAAAAATCGTTGCTTCCACTCAGAAATTAAAGGCCACCTTGCCTCCATGAAAGCTGGAATCGGATGACCTATTTGCCAGGCATCATTTATTCACAGCTTTCCAGGAAGAGTTTGATTTTTCTATCATGTCACATACAGGATGTAAACACAATACGTCTTTGCAGAAAAGGTCAGCACAGCATGTGCTTGATACAAAAACCAAATAAATCACTCAACTTTAGCGAGAGTCAAGAGCACTGTCAATGCTGAACCCTGAGCATAGGTTAATTAATAACCCCCATACAAATACAAACCAGATAATTATTAATGCAGCTCTAAGTCTAATACTGAAATTTTGTCATTCCGTCACTAAGACATCAGGGAAATAACTCAAAAGAAAGTGGGTTTTGTATCACCTGGAAGACATCCTTTATTGTAATGTGCAGTTATTAGTTGCAATGTAAAGCAGCACTGTCTCTCTGTTTGCAAACGCTTTAAGCAGTATTTACTGATAGGTATTTTAGGGAACTCAGAAGTATGAATGCAAAGGACTATTGCATTAAGTGAAGCTTAACAAAATAAGAGGCTATTGGGACAAATGCGTAATTCAGTATGAAATATATCTGCGTACTAGAGTACCCTATTTTACCATTTCTCAGTCTCCTTGTAGTCCCTAGAACTGTCTCCCAAATTTTGGAATCTTTTTCTTAAAGAAATACATTTCTTCTTTTCTCTTTCTACAAGCTGTAAGAGACTTAGGTTTTGAATTATTTGTCTAGTGCATCCTTTGAAAAAAGTTGAGTTTGCAACCTTCTCTGGAAACACAGGTTTTTGGCATCCCAGTACCTACCAGGACAGCACCAAATTTGTGGTCCAGCCACCA